CCCCAAAACCCCAAAACCCCAAAACCCCGAGTAAGACAATATTTGAGGATCGTTAAAAAATTTGCTTTTAAAATGTAATCTACTAGACATAAATTCTGATTAAATCCCTAAGCATTATGTAAATTTTTATTATCTTATTGTTTTATAATTTTGACACAAACAGTTAATAAGTTAAAATAATAATAATACAGTGAATCAATGATTAAGATCACTCAGCTGAAAAAATACTAAATAATGATCATGATATCATTCTGCAACATTTTCTTAGTACGAAACTTGGGATCAGATAGAAATCTGATGCATGAAGATTTGACATATTGTTTCTAACAAATTCCCACATACTCTTATCCCTAAGTCCTTGGGGGTTTAAATGGATTTACAGAATTCAACTGCATTACATAGGATTCAACTTTTAGTACACTAATTATTGGAGGTTACTCTAACTCCAACGATATTGTGGATTAGCTCAATACCCCAATAATGATAAAAATTAATTAAAACAGTGGTAGTGTTATCTGGAGTTAGTAATATTAGTCAACTTCATCAATAGTAAGACCATAGACTATTTAAGTTTGCAATATTTAACAGGGATCATAAAATTACATTGTGGGCATGTCAAAGTCCCCTGAATTCGCAATCTTTATTATGGATTTTGCAACAGGCCTTCTGTAAAAGACTCTTTATGAATTTAATTCAGATGCCAGCTTTAAGTAAATAACAAGATCTCCTGGAGGAATATACATGGATTCATCAAATAAGATCTATGCAGTTTCGACTGAGAGTGATAAAGTTAAAGTTTACTCCTTTGTTTATGATCAAGCAGCTTTAACTATTAACCCAATAATTTATATTAATTATGGCAACGCACTCACAAAATATGTTTCAGTTTTTACCCTTCTAGAATCTGATTACTCTGCGATTTACTTTACAGGAAGCTATAATCAAAATCCAGCAATTATCAAGGTTAATCTCTAAACTGGAGGATCATTGCTTGGCTTTTCACTATAAGCAAGTGGATCATCAGCTTAATAATAAATGGGAAGATTTTCAAAATTTACACAAGGTCTAATAACTAATCAAATTGGATGCGCTTAGAATTTAGGTACTACAGTATTTGATATAGCATTTGTATTTATTACAGAAATAGCAACTATACAGACTCTTTCAAAATCCTGGTATCTTACAATGACCGAGGCTACTAAGTGTACTGATCTTAGATATTCCAGTTCAATAGCTTACTATCTCTTAAGTTAGGATGGATCAGCGAGAAACTTATTTGGATAACTAGATACATCAGCTTCCACTACTACTCTAAGTATGACTCAATTATAACTTTCTTCAACTCAATCAACACTTTTTTCGCAAAATGCATTTATAGATGCCAGTGGTAGCTTTTTCTATTATGTTGGCTCTTTGACAAAAATAAGCTCACATTCATATTCTTAAAGACTTGCATTTGTTATGAAATTTCCATAAAATAATCCCCTCCTACCTTCAAATGCAGTAGTTTCTATGACGGCAACGTATTAATCTCTATTTTTATTAGGTAAAATTACTACTCCTATCTCCCTAACGATAAGTTCAAATTCAGAGAATGTAATATTGAAAGATCCCTTATCATATACATCTAGCGAGTTAATTTTGATTGATAAATAAGAGGTACCGCCAAATTTCTAAACTTACTAAAATATTGGAACAATCACACCTTCTAGTGTTTAATCTCAAATTTACACAGTAGCTGAACCTGCTTTGGTCATTAATTATGCAGACTTTACGTATAGTGTTTCATGCTAGGAAACTTTATAATGGACTTATAGTTCTAAATTATCAAATGGATCAGATTTGCCTAATTGGATTTAATTTACGCAACTCTCAGTTGGAAATGGATTTTAATTTACAATTTAAACAAATGATAACTCCACATTTGGCATCTATCAGATACTTTTAATTGGTCTGTTGAATAGTCTTTATTCAGGATAAACAACATTTCAGCTTACTGTTAATTCCCTTCAATCTTCGACACAAACCACAACAACAACTACAACAACTCCAAATCCAACTACTACTACTCCAATACCTACAACTTAAACTACTTTTTCAAGTAATCTCATTTCTAATCGAGCACCATATTTTGAGACTAAACTTCAAGACTAGATATTGATTTTTTATGATGAACAATATATTCTTCGATTTCCTAAAGTAATTGAACCAGATTAAGACTTATTTGAAATTAAAGTAGTAAATCAACTAGAAAGTAAATTACCAGATTTTATCACTTACCATTCAAATGAGCTATTTATCAAACCTAGTCTCCCAGATATCGGAGATTACGTAATAATAATAATTGTCAAAGATGATAATACCACTTACCCTATGTAGAATCAGTATTTGATTAAACTAAAAGTTCAAGGTAGATAAAAATATAGAGATATTCAAAAACCAAACATTTCATTACCTTATTCAAATGGCGAAATTCCTTCATATCAAAGCATTTTAGGAAGCAAGGATATTAGTATAATTTACTTAAATACACAAGGTAAACTAAAATTAGAATTCAGTCAAGCTCTTCTTCAAAATAGAAATATTCAGGATTTGATAAGAAATTACTTAGATATATAAACTACTGATGGAGAAAATCAAGTTAAATCTTGGCATGCTATTGAAACAATAAATGATTATAATAAGATCGAAATATAGATAGAATTTTTAAATGATAAAAACATATCAATGGGATAAATCTAGGATTAGCTTCAAGTCTCTGTTAATTTAACCTAAAATAGCTAGTTAATATAAGTATTTAAGCTAATTCCTCCTTAAGAGTAAAACTTAGAATTTAATTCTATCATTAATGATATCACTACCAATACAATTTCAACAGTATTATATGGAAGCATTGGTATCAATATGCTTATTGGGACAAGTTTACAATTAGTTTGGGGAATGGTGAATACTCTTTAATTAGTTTCTCACACTCCCTTGTTTTCTATACCATATACAGCAGAAATTCTGATATTTTTAAAAGCTGTATTCACAGTCGTTACATTTGATCCTTTCAATTCTAGTCAGCATCTTTAAAAGATATTTTAACTTCGACCAGTTGATGAGTATGAGGACTTTAATGATAGATTTGAATTCCTAGGATATGACAATTCAAATTTTATATATCTGATTGGGCCACCGATTCTTTTACTTATTTTCAATATTGGGTTAATCTTGATTTTTGCATTGATAAGGCTTGTTAAATCCTCTAAATTAAGAAAGATTGATGAATATCTCTGATCATATCTTTTTTGGAATCAATTTATGAGGTATTTTATAGAACTTTCACTTGAATCAGGAGTTTCATTTATGATTAATATTTTGCTTTTGGATCTCCAAGATTTCCCAAGTTTAGTTACGCTTTTGGTGTCAGTATTTTTTGCTTATATGAATATTTTTATTGCAATTGGTCTTCCTATTTATTTATACATAAACAAAAATAGCTTGATGTCTATTAAAATTACAAGAAAATTTGGAGAAATCACTGAGATTTTAAGAGAATAATCCAAAGGCTGCTTCTTTTATCACTCCTTATTCATTTTTAGAAGAATGATTTTCATTGCTATTGTATTTTCTTTAAAGGACTATCTTGCTCTTTAAATAATATTATTTACTTACTTGAACTTGCTTTATCTAATCTATATTTTACACTGTAAACCTATCTCAGTGAACTACAATATTGAGATATTTAATGAAATAACATCCTTGCTTTTGAGTATTTGCATGTTTGCATTTACTGATACACTTTAATATATAATTGTAAAGTACTAATTCAGCAAAGTTTATCTAGTTTTATTTATTTTCAACATTGTTGTTAATATTTTGACTATTGGTTTTAGTACAATTTATAATTTAATTCAGCGTATAAAGATATATCTAAGAAGGAAAAGATATCGTTAAAAGTTGACAATAATTTAGATTAAACCAGAATTAAAGAAATAGATTGCTAATCTATCAGTTATTAACGAAGAAGATCATAATCATAATAATAGTATCCTCACTGATAACGGATTTGAAGATGATATTAACTGCATGAGAATTAACACTAGTAGATAGCTTATAGAATAAAGCAATAAAATTACAATTAGAACAAATATTCGATAGAATAACTTGTACGATAGTTAAAGTTCTAAGTCAGCGTCAGCAAAAAATGCCATAATCAAAATATCTATACAAAAATTCGAAACACCATCAACTTTATTTGATATGAATACTTAAAGAACTATGCTTAGTTCCTCGAGGAAGAAATTTTCTACTTAAGACCTAGGACAAGTTTAAAGAGACATTGCAATAAAAAATTTAAATTTTAGAAGACTAAGTGTCTAAAATGTAAATTTCCTATCGCCTAATATGATGATTAATTAAAAGACTAACAACTTTTTCATGAGTAACTCACGCTCTTAAACCCCAGATAAAACTAGTTCAAATGCTGATGAAGTGAAAAATCGTGTTATAAGTGGAGGCTAAGTCTAAAGTAGTCCTTAAAATTCAAATAAATCTACCTTTTCTAAAAATATTTTAGACTAAAGTATGAGAGAGAATGATTCAGACGATAACAACTATGAAAATGATATCTAATAGATAAGATAACATTTTTGAATTCTTTGAGCTTATTCAATGTTTATCAATTAAATATATTAATTATTAATTTCATTAAAATTTTAATTTCTATTATTCCAAATGAAGCTTATGATTTCTATGCGGGGTTTTGGGGTTTTGGGG